CTCTATTAGATATGGTGCGATCTATGATGTCTCTTGCCGATTTACCGCTTTCTTTTTGGGGCTATGCTTTAGAGACTGCCGCATTCACTTTAAAAAGGGCTCTGTCAAAATCCGTTGAGACGACACCGTATGAATTATGGTTTGGAAGGAAACCTAAGCTGTCGTTTCTAAAAGTTTGGGGATGCGATGCTTATGTCAAGAAACTTCAACCTAAAAAGCTCGAACCCAAGTCGGAAAAATGCGTCTTCATAGGATACCCTAAAGAAACTATTGGGTTTACCTTCTTCCTCAGATCCGAAGGCAAGATCTTTGTTGCCAAGAATGGATCCTTTCTAGAGAAGGAGTTTCTCTCGAAAGAAGTAAGTGTGAGGAAAGTAGACCTTGATGAAGTATTACCTCTTGAACCGGAAAATGGCGCAACTCAAGAAAATGTTCCTGAGGTGCCTGCACCGACTAGAGAGGAAGTTAATGATAATGATCAAGATACTTCTGATCAAGCTCCTACTGAAATTCGAAGGTCCACAAGGACACGTTCCGCACCAGAGTGGTACGGCAACCCTGTCTTGGAAATCATGTTGTTGGACAACAGTGAACCTTCGAACTATGAAGAAGCGATGGCGGGCCCGGATTCCGACAGATGGCTGGAAGCCATGAAATCCGAGATAGGATCCATGTATGAAAACGAAGTATGGACTTTGACTGACTTGCCTGTTGAGCGGCGAGCCATAGAAAATAAATGGATCTTTAAGAAGAAGACAGACGCGGATGGTAATGTGACCATCTATAAAGCTCGGCTTGTCGCTAAGGGTTATCGACAAGTTCAAGGGGTTGACTACGATGAGACTTTCTCACCGGTAGCGAAGCTAAAGTCCGTCCGAATCATGTTAGCTATTGCCGCATTCTACGATTATGAGATATGGCAAATGGACGTCAAAGCGGCATTCCTTAATGGTTTCCTTAAGGAAGAATTGTATATGATGCAGCCGGAAGGTTTTGTCGATCCTAAGAATGCTGACAAGGTGTGCAAGCTCCAACGCTCGATTTATGGGCTGGTGCAAGCATCTCGGAGTTGGAACATTCGCTTTGATGAGATGATCAAAGCGTTTGGGTTTACACAGACTTATGGAGAAGCCTGTGTTTACAAGAAAGTGAGTGGGAGCTCTGTAGCATTTCTCATATTATATGTAGATGACATACTTTTGATGGGAAATGATATAGAACTCTTGGACAGCATTAAGGCCTACTTGAATAAGAGTTTTTCAATGAAGGACCTTGGAGAAGCTGCATATATATTAGGCATCAAGATCTATAGAGATAGATCAAGACGCCTCATAATTCTTTCACAAAGCACCTACCTTGATAAGATATTGAAGAAGTTCAATATGGATCAGTCTAAGAAGGGGTTCTTGCCTGTGTTGCAAGGTGTGAAATTGAGCTCGACTCAATGTCCGACCACGGCAGAAGATATAGAAGAGATGAGTGTCATCCCCTATGCCCCAGCCATAGGTTCTATTATGTATGCCATGCTGTGTACCAGACCTGATGTAAACCTTGCCGTAAGTTTGGTAGGACGGTACCAAAGTAATCCCGGCAAGGAACACTGGACAGCAGTCAAGAATATCCTAAAGTACCTGAAAAGGACTAAGGAAATGTTTCTCTTTTATGGAGGTGACGAAGAGCTCGTCGTAAAAGGTTACGTCGACGCTAGCTTCGACACAGATCTGGATGACTCTAAGTCACAAACCATATACGTGTATATATTGAATGGTGGGGCAGTAAGCTGGTGCAGTTGCAAGTAGAGCGTCGTGGCGGGATCTACATGTGAAGCGGAGTACATGGCAGCCTCGGAGGCAGCGCGTGAAGCAATTTGGGTAAAGGAGTTCATCACCGACCTAGGAGTCATACCCAATGCGTCGGGGCGATCAAGCTTTTCTGTGACAACACTGAAGCTATTGCTCTTGCCAAGGAGCCCAGGTTTCAGAAGAAGACAAGGCACATCAAGCGTCGCTTCAACTCCATTCGTGAAAATGTTCAAGATGGAGACACAGAAATTTGTAAAGTCCATACAGATCTGAATATAGCAGATCCGTTGACTAAACCTCTCCCTAGAGCAAAACATGATCAACACCAGAATTCCATGGGTGTTCGATTCATCACAATGTAACTAGATTATTGACTCTAGTGCAAGTGGGAGACTGTTGGAAATATGCCCTAGAGGCAATAATAAAAGCATTATTATTATATTTCCTTATTCATGATAATTGTCTTTATTCATGCTATAATTGTGTTATCCGGAAATCGTAATACATGTGTGAATAATAGACACCAACATGTCCCTAGTAAGCCTCTAGTTGACTAGCTCGTTGATCAACAGATAGTCATGGTTTCCTGACTATGGACATTGGATGTCATTGATAACGAGATCACATCATTAGGAGAATGATGTGATGGACAAGACCCAATCCTAAACATAGCACAAGATCGTATAGTTCGTTTGCTAGAGTTTTCCAATGTCAAGTATCTTTTCCTTAGACCATGAGATCGTGTAACTCCCGGATACCGTAGGAGTGCTTTGGGTGTACCAAACGTCACAACGTAACTGGGTGACTATAAAGGTATACTACGGGTATCTCCGAAAGTGTCTGTTGGGTTGACACGGATCAAGACTGGGATTTGTCACTCCATATGACGGAGAGGTATCACTGGGCCCACTCGGTAATGCATCATCATAATGAGCTCAAAGTGACCAAGTGTCTGGTCACGGGATCATACATTACGATATGAGTAAAGTGACTTGCCGGTAACGAGATTGAACGAGGTATTGGGATACCGACGATCGAGTCTCAGGCAAGTAACATACCGATTGACAAAGGGAATTGTATACGGGATTGATTGAATCCTCGACATCGTGGTTCGTCCAATGAGATCATCGAGGAGCATGTGGGAGCCAACATGGGTATCCAGATCCCGCTGTTGGTTATTGACCGGAGAGCGATCTCGGTCATGTCTACATGTCTCCCGAACCCGTAGGGTCTACACACTCAAGGTTCGGTGACGCTAGGGTTGTAGGGATATGTATATGCAGTAACCCGAATGTTGTTCAGAGTCCCAGATGAGATCCCGGACGTCACGAGGAGTTCCGGAATGGTCTGGAGGTAAAGAATTATATATAGGAAGTGCTATTTCGGGCATCGGGACAAGTTTCGGGGTCACCGGTATTGTACCGGGACCATCGGAAGGGTCCCGGGGGTCCACCGGGTGGGGCCACCTACCCCGGGGGGCCACATGGGCTGTAGGGGTGTGCGCCTTGGCCTACATGGGCCAAGGGCACCAGCCCCAAGAGGCCCATGCGCCTAGGGTTCAAGAAGGGAAGAGTCCCAAAGGGGGAAGGCACCTCCTAGGTGCCTTGGGGAGGAGGGATTCCTCCCTTGGCCGCCGCCCCCCCTAGGAGATTGGATCTCCTAGGGCCGGCGCCCCCCCCCCTTGGCCCTCCTATATATAATGGGGAGATGGAGGACTTCTCACCCCACGCCTTTGGTGCCTCCCTCTCCCTCTCCAACACATCCTCCTCCTCCATAGTGCTTGGCGAAGCCCTGCCGGAGTACTGCAGCTCCATCACCACCACGCTGTCGTGCTGCTGCTGGAGCCATCTCCCTCAACCTCTCCTTTCCCCTTTCTGGATCAAGAAGGAGGATACGTCACGCTGACCGTACGTGTGTTGAACGCGGAGGTGCCGTCCGTTTGGCGCTAGGATCTCCGGTGATTTGGATCACGTCGAGTACGACTTCCTCATCCCCGTTCTTTGAACGCTTCCGCGCGTGATCTACAAAGGTATGTAGATGCAATCCAATCACTCGTTGCTAGATGAACTCATAGATGGATCTTGGTGAAACCGTAGGAAATTTTTTGTTTTCTGCAACGTTCCCCAACAAAGGGATCAAAGTGTTGGCATGGGAGATGTCATTGATACCTCGGTAACATTGACAGTGCAAAGCTAGGCCCCGGCCCCCAACAATGAAAAAAATATCACCTTTCAAGGGGCTAAGTCCTTCTACAAGGCATTAAAAAAATGTAATGTGAGAATAGGAAGGACACCCATTTTAGAAAAATTGATATGATTCTGATATGCAAAACTCAGAGCAATTGGTATCTGCTTCCCATGTTACGTCGGAGCTTGGTGTGTGGAAAATCAAATGTACACACTATTAAGACTACAAAAAACTCATGCAGTAACACATTACGAAGCTTAGAAAAACAGAATAAATATTGTGATTGCCAAATTAGTTGAAGGAAATAAAGGGGTTATAGAATTGTGATATACTTGTGTGAGGACTCCCATAGGAAATAATGTTCTAACTCGATGGACGTACAAACAGAGGCGTGCACATCGGAGGATACCACCAATACGGCCAGCCTCGCCGATTCCAACATCAAACAACTTAATCAACCCATTCCTTGTCTTTGGGAACATGGAAATGACGCAGGGAATCACCTAGAAATCCGTGTGCGGCTGCTACGACAGTGACCGGGGTTTGGGTTTTCTCGGGAAGGAAACACGGGTGCAACTGCTACGCATTTTCTGCTGATTGCAAGAACCACAATGGCCAGACAATGATTGAAGTGAGCAAACATGTTCATGTTCTTTTGGCATAATGAGTGGCATCCTATTCCTAGCTACAAACAGTTTGAGGCCAAACAGTCGGCAGCATCACAAGTAGATAACTGAAATAAATTACAATAGCAGAAGAACAACTTGATATAATCCAATAGATCAAGCAAAAATAATTAAAACAAACTTTCCGTTTGTTCTTTCACTGAACAGTTGAAGTGCTTTAGTAGCAGTATCGAACTATCGATAGATTAGATAGAGTTGTCAGTTCTGAACTTACGATAGTATAAGCGACCTCTCTTGGGTTTCGTCACACAAGCAGAAACAAAGAGAAGAGGAAAACATGACAAGCAGCAGCGAGAATGAAAGGCTGGAGGGTAGCATCACTCACCTGAGCCTGCTATGAGTCTGTAACCGTGACTATGCCCAGGCCGCCCGTACCCCCACCCGGCGTCCAGTTCCTTCATGCCTCCATCACATGGTATGGCTACATGTACGTCCACGCCAAAATATAGGTGCACTACAGCCATTGAGTCTCCACCGCCAGTGCACTACAACCATTGAGTCTCCACCGCCAGTGCACTACAACCATTGAGTCTCCACTGCCACTCCAGTAGACTAACTAACACAGAGACCAATAGAGGAGAGGGCCCGCTATGAATGGATTCTTCACAATACCAGAAGATGTGACACAAGGAATGATTTGTCAATCTCAGTCCAAAGCATATAACTGGAACATAACCAAAGATTTGAGATATCATGAGAGGAAGAATGCTTACAGAAGAAAACAAGAACTTCTTCATGGCACATGTGCTGAGCTTGGTAAAGTCTGACGCCACTGCATTCACGCCCAAGGACCTGCTAGCACACCCTCTACATGTTCAACCCTGCTGCCTCTCTGCTCCCTCCCACCAATGAGAGCCACGTCCCTGTCCTCCAAAGGTCACCGGTAGAAGCAGCGAGGGCGACCTAGAGGATGACGAGACATCACTAACGTTACCCATGTAGCCTTTCCCATGCTGGTTTATTCCTTCTCTACGGGGCGACGAAACCGGAGCTCGCCTGGCGACAGGGGTGGCCGAGGAGAAGGGGGTCGTCCTCGCCGAGGTCGGGCTTCTCCAGCATGTACTCCACCTGCAATAAAACATGGAGTTAGGAGCGGCTCGAGCGGATTACGGGGCGGCGGAACAGGAATCACCTGGGGGCGGGGGTCGGGTTTGGGGCGGACGCACTCCTCGGAGCCCTCGTCGGCTCACGCGGCCCTATTCTTCCTGTCCTAGCGTCGGCAGCAGGGGTGGCCATGTCCGGTGTCCCGTGGTTTGGGGCTCACCGTGTCCGCCGCGGCGGCGACGGCGATTGGGGTGGCGGCGTCAGCAGAAGCGAGCGAGGCGACCCCTTCCTCCTCGGTGCCTACGCTGTGCTCCTTCCTCTCTCTGGCGGCGACAATATTTGGCAGGGAGAGAGACGAGATCGGGAGAGAGGGCTCGGGGAGAGGTGGGGGCGAGGCATGGGTGGGATCCTGGGCTGGTTTTTCGGGTTTCTGGTGCGTGTGGGATCCAGCGTTTTGTTTACCGCATCGAGGGGGAGGGACGAGGTCGAACCATCATGACGTTCGATCCCCTTTAATAGTAGAGATTTGGAATGAATGTTGGGGTCTTCTCATACTTGGAAAAGTAAAAGTCTTCAACTGGAAGGGGGTTACATGGAGAGTTACCTTACTATTGAGTTAATGTTCAACGACACATTCGTACTACTGTTCAATGTCCACTATGTTCTATTGGTATGGAGGAAATACAATAGTGTCTATTATCTCGTGTGTGAGCAAAGAAAATTTGGAAAGAACTCGGCCTAATTGAGGAAGTTAATAAAGCAATGTTAGAGGATCGGTTGAGAATGCTCACTTTGAAAATTCTTGCTAAACTATACTAGGACTGGAGATATCCCATCGATAGAACTTGCAGCTGTTGTAGCGTAGTTCATATGGTGGAACCAAAGACAACTTGTGAGAGGTGAATCAGTGCAGTCATGTGAGAGATTGGCCCTTGCCATCAAAGTTCTAGCCACAAAAGTCAATAGAGCGCCATCTTCAAAATTCCCAAGTGCAAGTGTGATCATATGAAGAAGAAGTGGACAAATGGAATTATTTAAGTTAGCGTGGATGCTTATTTATCTGAGGAAGCCTTTTTAGGTGCTACTGGTGCATTGGCATGAGATGAATATGGGAATTTCATTCCGGCTGCGACCTGGTTCTTACCCCATGTGAGTAGCATGGGCTCAACTAAAATAATTGCTAATCGAAATGGTTTGTAGTTCGCTTTGAATAGATCATCTCATACAACAATTTTATATAATCACGTCTTGACCATATTACATCACAACATGCCTTGCAAAAACAAGTTAGACGTCCTCTACTTTGTTGTTGCAAGTTTTACGTGGCTGCTACGGGCTTACCAAGAAACGTCCATATGTACGCATCAAAAACCACAACGATTTTTCATCAAGTGTGCTGTTTTAACCTTCAACAAGGACCGGGCGTAGTCACACTCGATTCAATTAAAGTTGTAGAAACAGACACCCACTAGCCACCTGTGTGCGAAGCACGTCGGTAGAACCAGTCTCATAACACGGTCATGTAATGTCGGTCTGGGCCGCTTCATCCAACAATACCAACGAATAAAGTATGACATGCTGGTAAGCAGTATGACTATTATGCCCACAACTCTTTGTGTTCTACTCGTGCATATAACATTTACGCATAGACCTGGCTCTGATGCCACTGTTGGGGGACGCAGTATTTCAAATTTTTCCTATGATCACGCAAGATCTATCTAGGAGATGCATGACTGTGTCCTGGACTAGGGGGTACTCACCACATCGTCTCCCGATCAGTTGGATTGGGCCGAGGACCCCCCCAGGGCCATTTACTCGTGGGCCAGTTCGGATAGTCAATGACATGCACAAGGAAGATTCCACAAGACTTGGTGATCAAGATAAGGACTCCTCTCCACCGGCGTATTCGACTAGGACTCTTGTTATCCTAGGCCTCTGGTGCATTATATAAGCCAAGGCCAAGCTAGTCGATAGATTATTATGACATTACTCATCACACCTGTAGGGTTTAGACCACAACATACGATCTCGAGGTAGATCAACTCTTGTAACCCCCATACTCATCAAAGTCAATCAAGCAGGAAGTAGGGTATTACCTCCATCAAGAGGGCCTGAGGGAGTCCTGGATTAGGGGGTCTCCAAACAGCCGGACTATATCCTTTGGCCGGACTGTTGGACTATGAAGATACAAGATTGAAGACTTCATCCCGTGTCTGGATGGGACTTTCCTTGGCGTGGAAGGCAAGCTTGGCAATACAGATATGTAGATCTCCTCCCTTGTAACCGACTCTGTGTAACCCTAGCCCCCTCCGGTGTCTATATAAACCGGAGGGTTTAGTTCGTAGGTCAACAGACAATCATACCATAGGCTAGCTTCTAGGGTTTAGCCTCTACGATCTCGTGGTAGATCAACTCTTGTAATACTCATATCATCAATATCAATCAAGCAACACATAGGGTATTACCTCCATCAAGAGGGCCCGAACCTGGGTAAACATCGTGTCCCCTGCCTCCTGTTACCATCCGCCTTAGACGTGCAGTTCGGGACCCCCTACCCGAGATCTGCCGGTTTTGACACCGACATTGGTGCTTTCATTAAGAGTTCCACTGTGCCGTCACCATAAGGCTCGATGGCCCCTTCGATCATCAATAACGATGCGGTCTAGGGTGAGGTTTTCCTTCCCGGGCAGATCTTCATATCCGGCGGCTTCGCACTGCGGGCCAATTCGCTTGGCCATCTGGAGCAGATCGAGAGCTACGCCCCTGGCCATCAGGTCAGGTTCGGAAACTTAAACTACACTGCCAACATCCGCAGAGACTTGATCTTCGACGGATTCGAGCCCATGTCAGGTGCGCCGCACAATCACGACGAGCATGACGTAACTCTGCCGTCGAACAGTGTTCGGGAGATCGCATCTGCAACTACTCTGGCCTTCAATCCGGAGCAAATTGCGCCATCCGACGACGGAGGGACGGACCCCACCATGGAGGCCGCACTCTCAGTGGTGATGGAGCCGGATACTGACTTCACCCCTTACAAGAGCCGTGTTGCCGAACCACTGGATTCGTCTCTGGCCACGGACTCCGAACCGCCTGCATCCGTGCCTATCGAATCCGATTGGGCGCCGATCTTGGAGTTCACCTCCGTGGATATCTTTCAGCACTCGCCTTTCGGCGATGTGCTAAATTTATTAAAGTCTCTCTCCTTGTCAGGAGAACCTTGGCAGAACTATGTCCGGCTAGAATGGGATGCGGACGACGAAGAAATTCGCTGCCCACCCACCACCCACTTAGTAGCCACTGTCGACGATTTAACCGACATGCTAGACTTCGACTTCGAAGACATCGACAGTATGGACGACGATGCGGGAGACGAACAGGAACCACCGCCCACAGGGCGCTGGACCGCCACTTCATCACATGACATATACATGGTGGATACACCCAAAGAAAACAATGACGAGGAACGGGAGGAGACAGCGGAGGATGACCCCTCCAAAAAGCAAACAAAGCGTCGGCGTAGGCGCCGCTCCAAATCCCGCCTCGGCAAAAACAGCGATAAGAGTGCAAGAGAAAATAATACTCCAGTCGACTTCAGAGGAAACGGCGACGTCATTGCCCCGGCAGCAGAGCACGATGAAGCTGCAAACGGCGAACACAGTACGGATCCGACGTCCGAACACGGCGGTGTCGAGGATAAACCTCATCAAACCCCCTATGGGGAGGAAAACAGTCCGGATGATGATGCACACATCATCCCGGAAACAAACTTGGAGCAAGAGAACCTCCACAGAAGGCTTATTGCCACTGCGAGGAGTCTAAAGAAGCAGAAGCAAAGGCTTAAGGCCGAACAAAATACGCTCAACAACAGGTGGAACAAAGTGCTCGACAACGAAGAAAAGTATGATGGAGGTTACCACACAAAGAGCTATCCAAAGCGCAAGCTATTGCCTGAATTCAACGATGAGGCCTTAGAGCCCATACAGCCGAAAAATAAAACGGCCAACCGGCCGGATCAACCACCTTGTGACCGCGATAGAGCGGCTAACAAGGTCGCACATAAGTCAACACACGATCTACGTGAGGACTTGCGCCAAAAATCCAGTATGACCAGATCCATCTATGGATCTAGGAAGCGCACTCCGGCACAAAATCAAAATTGAATACTACAACCGTCCGAACGCCATGATACATCCAAATAAAGGGGTGCCGCACACCCCCTATGTTTCACCGATGAGGTGCTGGACCATGAATTCCCAGAAGGATTCAAACCAGTGAACATAGAAGCGTACGACGGGACCATAGACCCTGGGGTCTGGATTGAGGACTTTATCCTCCACATCCACATGGCTCGTGGAGACGATCTCCATGCCATCAAGTACTTGCCCCTCAAGCTTAAAGGACTAGCTCGGCACTGGCTGAAAAGCCTCCCCGAAAACTCAATTGGAAGTTGGGAGGAGTTTGAGGACGCTTTTCGGGCTAATTTTCAAGGGACGATTCCTCCGGATGTAGATAATTTAAGTCATATAATTCAACAGCCCGGAGAGTCAGCCCGAAAGCTTTGGAATAGGTTACTCACTAAGAAGAACCAAATCATCGACTGTCTGGACATCGAAGCCTTAGCAGCTTTCAAGCACAGCGTCCGAGACGAATGGCTCGCCAGACACCTCGACCAAGAAAAACCGAGAACAATGGCAGCCCTGACAAGCCTCATGACCCGCTTTTGCGCGGGCGAAGATAGCTGGTTAGCCCACAGTAGCACCAGCGACCCAAGCACATCCGAAGTAAGGGATGGCAATGGAAAACCATGACGCAGTAAAAACAAGCGTCGAAATAAAGAAGACATCCCAGATAATACGGCGGTCAACGCCAGATTCAGGGGCTCTTGGCCAGGTCAGCGGAAAAAGCCTTTCAAAGGCAGCAGAGATGGATCGTCTAGCCTAAACAAGATCCTCGACAAACTATGTCAGATCCATGGCACCCCCGACAAACCTGCAAATCACACCCACAGAGAATGTTGGGTCTTCAAGCAGACCGGTAAGCTAAACGCCGAACACAAGGGGGGAGACACCAAGCGAAGACGAGGACGAACCGCGCCAGCAAAGCATTGGAGGACAGGAAAAATTCCCACCAGAGGTTAAAACAGTAAACATGATCCATGTGACGAAGAGGAGAAGCAAACATGCACTCTG